GGTTCACTCCAAAGCAGACAGCAGAAATTAGGCCCCAAAATTACAGTTTCTTTTAAACCACCATACTGGAAAGGTGGGAGAGCCAGGAAGGACCGGCATTGCCAAAGGGCAGCCCTGCCTGCCTTGTGCTACAGTTCTTGTCTGGCTAGGCCTGCGACAAAACCTGACTTCTCTCCATACGTTTCTTTCCCCTTTGCTGTCCCTTTGCTGGGCACCTGCTTTCTTCTTAGCACCATTTTCATTGCATCTAGCTTCCCCTACTCCAATTTTCCCAAGGTAGAGAAACCAAAGCTCACACAGTGAGTCTTGTCTGCTACAGCCTGCAGTATTTTCTTTTTGATTCCAGCCATCCTTGTTCATATAGGCTCTTGCTGGCTTTAGCCTTCTTCCCAAGTAGAGATCCTTGCTTGCAGTGATGCCATGGAAAACCTTTATCATATGCAAATTCTGTGTGGCAGAGCTCCGAGAACCTGGTTACAACCACTGGAATTTAATGTGCTTTATGAGCCTGTATCATTCAACACAGCCATCACGCTGACTTCATACTAAATTCAGTGTAATAACCCACTATTGCACTGCATCCTATTTTCATTCATGTGATATAAGGGAAAGCCATTAGCTTCTCTACTAAGTCCTACACGACTTCTGGAAAGCCATAATGAACTGCTGCAGCACTGACATGGGTTTAGCCAGCCCAAGAGCCTTTTGACATGCTGTTAATTGTGAGCATGACCCTCTGATTTTCTATTTTAATTTCCTCCCACTCTGCATGCCCTGGAAACCAGCAAGTCGGTACTTACAGAAGACAGATTCTAGAGCACTCTGGAAGCCTATTCTACATTTAATAGGAAATCTTGCTGTGGTGTAAAAGAGAGCTCTCAAAAAACTGCCCATCTGTTAAGAATGCAATGTCTTATTTCTGTGAACAACTAATTTGTGTTTAAGGAGGCATGTCCCGGATGACTAGGATTGCCCCAGGTGGTAATCCAGCATTTTCTGAGCTCTCATCTACAAACCCTTCCTGTTACCTTATAACTAAAAAAGTTTTTTTTAAAAAATCATACATTTTAGATTTAATGAGAAAATTTAAAGAATCATAAACATCACAAACCTTGAATTATTGATAAAATTGTAAAAAACCCCCACTGTCTATTGAAATAGAATTCACTGAAAATTTTGATGGGGGAAACGACAGTTCTTCCACCAGCTCTTCTAAATATGATGGTTTAACAACAGACATTAGCAATAATCTGGGGTGTTCTTTGAAGTCACTGCTCCTGCCCTCCTGTGTTTTAATTGAAGACTGATCAGAAAATGAGCACATACACCTCCAAAACAATGTTTTTCTTTTATATGCATTAAAAAAATTAACTCGTGTAACTGATGATACAAATTTCCTAATATCATAAGAAATGCTTTAACAAATGTAACAACTGAACAGATGTCTACATAATGGTTTACTTTTCAGAGATGGCATGCAACATTACAAAGGGAAAAGAGGCTGCCCTGTGAAATGAGTTCACTGGGAGTCAGGCTTGGGTTAGTGGCACGCTGCCCCGAGGATCCTGTCTCCACCAGCTGGAAGGAGGATGCAAAAGTCACAGTTGGAGCTAATGAGTCAGATATGCTGGGAAATGTCTCTGATGCCTTCATGCAGTCATTCAAGACCAAAAAGTTAGTGTTAGTTTTAAATATAGAAAGAAACTCCTCATTGAGCAGAAGCTCCTCCTCACAAACATATCCCACACGAGTACCTGAAAAAAATAACTGGCTAATAATTAGTTTTGGAACCAGTGCAATTAAGCTAAATATTTTGGTAAAGTTTAGTTTAAGAAAAGCACCCTCTCAGTGCTGCTGCTTTCATGGAATCTCCTCTGATCTGCAATAAGGGTACTCCAACACTACCAAGTAACATGAGTGAAAATATATGTTGTGGTGTTTTCATTCATTTTAGTATTATCCAAGAGAGAGAAAACAATGTAATTTTTTTTAAAGAGGCAACACCTGGCTTTATGTTTTCATTCAGAACAATATAGGAAGATTCTTTCCTACTGGGTCAGAAAAAAGAAAGTTTGTGAAAAAAGTCATGAAAATCCTATCTTTAACTACTATTTTTAAAAAATCTTTTTCCTTTATTCAAAATGTCATTTTGAGATAAATAGTAAGGAAAAAGGTCAGGATTACCGAGTCATTACCTATTTCAAAGGCATTCCCCTGATGTTATTTCTTAGGGAAGCCATTTATTTGGGCTTTAAGTACAAGGTTAGATATTTCCTCCATTTGTGCTTCTGAAATCACAACTGTAGTGTCAGTCTCATCATCGTTGCATGTTGTATTTCCCGTCTCTCCCACTGCCCCAACTTGTTTTTATTAAAACACTCTAACCAGACACCTTACAGGAGATCTAGTTGAGTGCAATATTCTACAATTAACTGTCTGGAAGTAGTTATGTCAAAGTTTGTTTTGCCACCTGAAGCTGGTGACAGGAAAGAATGAAAATAATCAGATCCTGCTGTGACACTGCATTTGAACTGGATAAAATACCAAAGCTGTGAAACATCAGGAAGAGACCACAACTGGTACCATATAGCAAGTGTCAGTCGTATTAGCAACATTACCTGGGTTTCTTCCACATTTAAAAGATGGAAAATTCTATCAGTAAAATGCTCATGAAGAAAAATAAGTCAGTTTATAGCTACAAAGCTTCTTCATTATCTTTTATAGATTATTGTCAATCATTTCCACAAAAAGATTTTCATCATTTACAATTAATTTTTACTCACTAAAATTAACAGCAATAAATTAAAACCAAGTAAAATAATAATTGTAATTCAATATATTACTAGCATTAGTATAAATATCATTCATGTTTATGTTTATTTCTGTTCTGATACTGGCAGGAATTGAAAATGCATGTTAGCAGTAAGCCACACTGGAATGTCAAGAAGCTTTTGAATCCAAAACTGCAGAATCCTTCATATGAAACACACATAATGGTTAAATTGACTCAATTTCCTTCACCTACGTGCAGTGAGTCATCATACTACATATTAAGAAAAAACTTTTATTTTAAAAATTCCTATAATCTTTGTGCAGGGACAGCTACCACCCTGTAACAGCACAAGCCCTTTTGCAGGATTTGCAATCTACTCCACAAGAGGGCAACCAAATTCCACTACAAAATGGATAAATAATCCTGTAGAATTTAAAGGTGACCATTCATTTTAGCTAAAAGCCAGAATATCTCCCCATTCCTAGAGTGGCTGGAAAAAAAGCTAGCCACGCACTTAACTTTGGACAGGTTGGGGGGGGCAACCTCCATCTCTTTTTCCCTCATAAACAGTGGTGACAAGGAACTGGTACACATGTAGGAAAAAGGTGCGTTTAAAGAAACCAACCATTTTTCTTTTTATGGGATTTTAGTATCTTCAGATACAACAAATATCCTGTAATCTTGGGCATCAGCTGAAGCATTTCACTTTACTGACAATAAAGCCACCACAGGCTGGGACACAAACAAATAATGCAAAGTGGCTACGACATAAGCAATTACTTTGTGGTGCAGGTAGAGATGAATTACAAGGAAATCTCTGTGACAGATTAGATAAGCGCAACCATCTTGTGGCCCCCGAGTCTTTTGCTTTTAGTCTGTGAGCAGTTCCAGTGTGACTTCCCATGTTAAGGCTGCACTGCCACAACACTGGACATTTGGAAAATGCTACCCCACTCACTGTTCAAGGGCAGCATCAAAGATGCTTCACATGAGGGGAATACCAGTTTAATCTTGCCACGACTTTGAATATGTATACTGGCTCTGTTGCCTGCTGTTTTTACCTCACTGCTCGGTTGTTTCGTCTGGAGTGCCAAGTAGGTCTGTCCCTACTCTAGCCACATTTTTCACAATGCCGCCTTCTAAGATCAACCGCCCCAGGCAAAATGCACAGTACTTAAGCTTCCCAAATTCTGAACTGAGAGGAGGAAACCTGCTTACTAGGACCCTTAAGAAGTGCAGCTAATACCAGCCTCTGTATCCAATCAGAAGTTAGTGCTGTGGAATCTTTTGTACTTCTGAACAGTTGAAGTAGCTACACTCAAAAGAATCCAAATAATTTTAAATCCAAAATGGATATTCATGCAGCCTACACATATATTTACGCACAATAGTGTCTTTTGGGCTATGTTCGTAAGGTTCAATATATCCATTCTCTCCTTAGGTTTTCACTTGATGGCCTGTTGTTAAGAGTATCTGCAACAACGCACAGTATTGTCATCTTTGTAAAAAGTACTTTAATATGTGACATTCATGAAACTATCTGAAAAAATTTATCCAAGGTAACAGAATATACTGTTCATATGAACAAGAGAGATGTTGGAAAACAACACATTTTATACACAGTAGGCTATACACATAGCAGTAGGCTACAGCAGTACAACTTATTTGGAATGTTACCCCTGTTTACTTCATAGTCAAATCTAGAGAGATGAACATTTGCTAGTACTATGCAAGACAGTTAAGCTCTACAAGTCTTCACTATAGAGCTCATTACAGACTTCCTGTTAGTGGGACTCTAACAAGCACAAGACACAACCCTTACTGCCATCACTATAAACCAAACAATTCTATATCTTCAAGGTAAAGCCTGGCAAGAACAGTGGATTTGCAGGGATGTGGCTAACAATTTCACTTAAACATAGTTCAAAAAATAGTTCAAAATAAAACAACAACGAAATGAACAACCCCCCAAAACCTGAAAACTTTCACTAAACAGGCTGATCAGATTATGTCTAACTTGGCAAACCAGAATTTTCCAATAAGTAAACTTTGGTTTCTTGCTTTTCGCACTCCCTCTAAAATGTTCCAAAAATTAAAAAACAAATTTTTTGTTGGTTAAAAAATTACTTCGATCTGTAGCATGTTTTAATTTCTCCTTTGGCTAGTTCCAGTTCTGAATGCAGCTTGTTGACACAACCAGAGAGAAGCAAAGCGGCAAAGTACTTACTGTTCTGGACTAGAAACTGAAGTCCTTCGGCCTTCCACAGCAATATTGCTCTTGGGTCTCTTAACAACATGAGGTCTTGGTGGGCGAACCTATTACATAGACACACATAGAAGCCATTTCATCAAATACTTCAAGTTGATCAAGCAACAGACATAACAACCAAATACGCATAACCACTGTTACCTTAGAGGTATCTTCCATTCAGAATTGCTTTTAAACGTCTTTTTGTGCCACAACAATGTTACAAATGAATACAGATATACAAATGAATATAAAGTACAAATATAAACTACAGGGACCCACAACCTTTTTTTAAGGACAAAAACCCCCACATTTTCAAATAGCAAATGAAACATATATGCTTGTCACTGACTGTTAGCTATTAGCGAAGCAATGAAAATTTGTTCCACTGTCCTGTTTGGTACAGGCTAAATTTCTGATAAAAGATTCCCTAAATGTGAGCTTCCCCTTATACAGTTAGTTGATAGAATAAAATTGGAAAATCCTGTGTGTTGCTGTACATTATACTGGAAAGTGGAGTTCAGCTCTGACATCATGATTCTTTTGTCCTCTTGTTCATAGGAACCCAACTTCTCAAGTGAAGTCTTCTGTGTAAGGGAGCACTGAAAAATTTGTACTCAGAATAAATGTTATTACATGAAAAACATAGCCCATTCTTCATTAAAAATTTGCTTCCTTTCAGCAGCTGAACAGAAACCCTTGCCACAGATATTATAATTATCAGCCCTAATGTTATGTTAGCGTATCTTGCTGTCTGTAATAAAATCCAAAGCTTTTCTGTGGAAGACGATGTTGCTGCCAATCCAATCTTAAATAACATATCCATCACCTTCTTGATTTCTGAACATTAGCTTAATTTACTTACATTAACTCCACAAGCAAACAAGTTGTACTTCAAGGAAAGGAATAAGCACACGTGATCTCCACATAGGCAAAGTTTATGCATGTGCCTCCCTATACTAGTGAGTAATCCTGTTGACGAACTTACCCTTTGAGTCAAATGCGGGAATAAACATTTCCAGCATCAGGGTCAGGCTGTACAAACAAGCTTTCCATTTTTTGTTACGAAAGTACTACCTTACCTGAAACGGACTCTGATTTGTTGGCTTAGCTGAATGCTAGTTTCAACAGAAATCCCCAAAGCCCTCAAATAAAGTTGGGAATATAACTCAACTTCTGACCACCTTGAGCTTGAGCTCCCTTAATAACCATAATATAAAGGAAGCTGTTAAAGGCCTACAACCTAAGTGCTCTTTGGATAACTAATAAATTTGTTTGCAGTGACAGAATGGATGCAGATTTCCTCCCACCTCTGCGAGTTTTTGTTGGCTTTTTTTTTTTTAATTATTTGTTGGGGGGTGGGGTGTTTCTGGTTCCCCCCCACCCCAGCATGCAAACCTCAAATTTTCTTGCCAGGAAAAAGCCACTGAATTGTGTGTAGTGTTTCTGTACTACACAACAGTATGCAGAAGACAGTAGCAGGATTATTGTATTGAATTTTCATTTCAAAGGAAATGGCGTACAGCAGATATGATGAAGAAATCCAGAGATGTATTGCCACTATTTCTTAGGAAAAAGGGCTTATAAAAAGGTCAGATGTTAAGATCTTGAAGATCAGTCCCCACACAAGGCTGCTCCTCTCTACAATAAAGACAGCTTAAGAATGTGAATTTATGGCAGGAATGGAAGGATTAAGTTTGTGGCAACTTCAACTGAACTTGCAACGTGGTGAAACATGGGGAAAAGAACAACAGAGCTAATTAGACGAGCTGAGCTGTCAGAGTGCGGCTGAATGGCTCGGTGCCAACAAACAAAAGGAATGGGCTGGCAATCAGCAGGATCGATGAAGAATACTGCTTCATTAGGGTTGATAAAACAGAGAGAGAGAGACCAAGAGAGAGCGAGTGCGTGCACGAGAGGGGGGAGAGAAGCAAGAGGAATTGGGGAAGAGAGCGAGAAGGAGAAAGAGGAAAAGGGAGGAAGAAAGAAACCTGTTTAATTAAATCTGAGCTGGAAGATGATGTGTAAAGCTGGCTTGTCATCATGCTGTGAACACTTTCACCTTTTGGGTGGTACCCTGGGGGAGTGATGGTGATGAGGGAGAGAGATGAGAGTTTTGGATGGCTCCAGGGGGTCACCAGACCAGTAAAGTGCAGGGTGACATGCTAAGTAGGATTTAGAGCATTGTTCATGGGGGACTGCAGAGAAATGCCAGGAATCAAGCCAATTCCTTGCTGGATTTTGAGCTTTATGTAGCCAAATAGGCAAGGTTAAATGCTTATCAAATGCAAAAGTATAAAATTTTTTATGAAATTACATAAGCACACAGCCAAAAGAATAAAGGTAAACATCCAGTACAGAAGGGCTAAATGTGCTTATTACTGTCCCCACCAACTTTATGCATAATTATTATATTTTAACTTTTTCTAATTGAATGAAGTTTCCAAACAGCCACTGTTAATCCAAACAGATCTCTATTAATTATAAGCAACAACCCTCTCTTTTTCATAATACCACCACAACTCATTTCCAAAACAGCAGAATGTAAAGACCATATCTGTTCTGCTTCCTTAACCTTCCTTTGGTCTGTGTTTTTGTTTTTATTATTAGTAATGACTCATATTGCAAGGACTAGTGCCCATGGATTCCTCCTCATAACAGATATATCTTGAAAACAGTAAGTATTTCTCAGGAATTCTGGTATTATGTGGACTTGGTTGGAAGTGCAGAGGGACCTGGTCTCTTCTTTCAGTGCTTGCTGTAAAAGGCTAGGATAAATTACTTGCCAATACCCACCGCTGTAATATATGTCAAGACTAAGAGAGGGAAAAAGCAGCCTGCACAAAGTATTATTTACACACACAAAAATGTGTTTCAACTATTAAAAGCCAAATAGCAGTTCTGAACAACAACAAATTTATGTATATTTGGTACAAGCATATTTTTGGGGAGTGATTATAATCATTTATATTTATCTTGAATTTCCTCTTGATGAATGAAGCATTTCTGTTCCACTTACTGACACAGCTAGATGAATGCAACAGGAGCTTTTATTATTACATTTCCAACCTTTTATCAATCACATTTGGAGCAGACAGTTGACATAAACACATTATAGTGAGGACTATTAATGCACTACAGCTGGGAGATTAAACAGTCTTAGCAAGACTTGGATGTAATAAATTACTCAATCTGAACAATACTGTTCAGCAACTTTTGTACAGAGGAATCACAATGTGTCCTCATACACCTGCCAAACACAAACCAAGAGGGCTATGAAGAACTATGGGAACCCTGTAGTACCATGGAAGGTTCGATCCTAGTGTAATGTATCTGGAAGGGTTTCCCATACCCATTACATTTAAGAGAACACATATAAGCATAGTTAATGCTACCTTTTAAACATAGAAAACAGAAATCTTCAGAGCAGGAATCCATAAAAATGACTCTGTTAAGCTTAACACCCAGAGTTAAAAAGAGGGAGGAAAAGAAACACATGCTATTGCAATGTAACATAGGAACATGCACCGAAGATCAAAAGTTAGCACACACCCAAGTGCACTTGTTAACCAGTTGCCTGCTCATCCAAAACACATTTTTAACAAGTTTTAGCAAGATTAGATTTGAAAACTTGCATATCTCTTTCTTATGCACATACATGTATGTATAAGGAAGCAAGGAGTAAGATGTATTTGTCTTTTGGGGAAATTATATTCATAAAGCAAAAATCCCGAATAGAAATGAGTATCTTCCAAGGCTGTTGCAAAAAACAACACCCCGTCTAAACTGACATCACTTTCCTGTACTACTAAAAAACAAACAAACAAACAAAAACACCAATGACAACAAAAAAATCACTGGTGCAGATCCAGCACAGTCTCCAGTTTTAAAGCCATCTGGCATAGTTAATATATAACAATTGTCCTACAGTTAGTGCTTTGAATGAAAAACTGCTGAGATAAGGTATCCCTGCGTAATACAGTACAGGTATCGCACCGAGAATAATTTCTGTGTAATTCTTCTATGGAAGAGTCACTTCTTCTGGCCAACATGCTGTGCCTACATTTTTTATACTACGAAATTACACAGAGTCCCAGCTTGCATTTTAAATTAACATAAAGTATATATGTATGTCATCCATAATGTGATACTAATGTTCTACCACCCAAATACAGACTTCGTTTTCTTCATGTGTATTCACTCGTTTATTCCATGGAGAAAAATTAAGCATCCCAAATTAATTTAAAGCATAACTTGCAGACAATAAATACTTTCTCTACTGACTTCTGCTTCCTTTCATATTTGAGTTTAGTGCAAGTCTTCAAAAGCTCACTGGCTAAAAACTTATGCCAACCTAGCAAGACCTTTTGTTTAAGAAATCACCACAAAAGTAAAAACAAATGTTGCAACAGCTGCATCAGTTACCTGCAGAACTCACTGAAAGCTGCAGAACTCATCAAAGAAAAGCAGAATAAATGCAGGTCCCAGGGCTGTGCCGCAGGAGAGAAGGGAGTTTAGGAGCGTAATTCACACGTTGCTTTTTTGCAAAGTTTGACAATCCAAACTACCAAGGTTTAGTAATGCTACTAAGAGCGTAATTCAGGCAGTGTTAAGCTGTGGCAGTGAAACAAAGCTACCAACTACTCACGGGCCTAGATGAACGCTGTATCTTTGGAGGCGGTGGCCGAGGCGGACGGAGTCTTTGCTGCTGTATCAAAGTGGAAACTAAATTAAAGCCACCTACATGAAAACACCTCTGATTTTGTGGCAAAAGCAGTATGAGTGGATGACAACACGTGATTTACCTTAGCTTCATACTCACCTCACCAAAAGCAAGTTTTCTTTTCTTTCTTCCCCCCTCCCCCCCCCAAACCAGTGACAAATCTCATGATGTACAAAGTGCCACAATAGTAAAGGTAGCTATATCTGCCTGTTGATGTAGGCTTAACATAGCTTGTGTTAAACTAAAGGTAGCACAATCACCACTCCACACCAGATCATCCAAAATTACTGAGACAACAAAGACACTCAAGGTGGATTCTTGGACCTCTATGTCCAAGTGTTCTAG